GAACAGCCCCATCCCCACACCCCGGGGAGCAGCAGCCTCTGCACGGGGACAGGAGCCACACACCAACACCTGGCAGGCTCTGCTCCAGCCTGGTGGCTCCAGAGGGGCCCCACTCTGCAGCACACAAGTGACCAAGCCTGGGCTTCTACTGACTCACGTCTCGGGGGCTCCAGCGGGGCTGGCCCGTGTCTGACCAGGCTCCTGCACTGCTGGGGCAGGAACAGGATCTCTCTCTTCTCCCTGCTCGCCCGGATTAATGAGCTCTGGAGGAGTTTATCATCTTCCACGCCTCAAAGTTTGGCTAAAATCAACTGAATTGTGAAGGAAAGATGGAGATGTTACTGGGGAGAAAAGAAAGCAGGGACAGCAGAGCTGTTGTATCAACTTTGTTTAGAGAACCAGGCTAAAATCCACAGAACATTTCCCAAACTACTCCTCTTGCACACAGTGTTTCTTATGACATTTTTCTAACAAAAGTGTTCTGACTTTTCATTTAAAATTACACTTGCCTTAGAAAAGGTGATCTAAAAAGGGTTAAATAACCCCTCAATAACCTGACATGCAACATGAAAATAAAAATCAAGAAAAGGGAAAAGGGTCATTAACACTTGTATTTAATTGCAAAAATTAAAAACTTTTTTATTCTTCTTACATACAAATCTCATTTATTTACATACTTTACAGGCTTTTCCCAAGTATTTACAAAGTTTGCAATATATTAAATTAGGACCATCCATAAAATTCTGCATTAAGTGCATATTCACATTCTTTTTTTTTAATCCATCACTGAATTTAGTGTTCAGCATTGAAACAGTCTTTATGCATATATAGCTTTACTTCCCAGCACCTCTGAGCCTTTAGAATGTGGCTCCCCTCCCCAAGAGAAGGAGATAATGCTAAAAATAAATCACCTGCCATTATTCTGAATCTCCAAAGCAAAGGGAAGTCCAGCATCTCCCTTGTCTAACTCAGCAGGACACTAAATCTGCCCTTTACAGGGAGGAGGTTCCTGAAGAGGAGGATACCTATAAAATTTACCAAGAGGAGAAAGTTTGGTTTGCAGGAAGCAAAAGCTCTGTGTGCACCCACTGAAATGGCCTCACCCCAGGAAGTGTTCAGTTCTCTTGGGGGCCACGGGGCTGAACGTGGACCTGGCATGGGGGTGTGTGGAAGGGAAACTTCCCTCCTGGAGGGAGGGAGGGAGGGAACAAGAGGGTTTCAAGGCAGAAGGATCCCCTTTTCTGAGACACTGCTATTTAGAGAGCTCACATCTCTACCATGAGATGCTCCCCACCTCCTCCTGCTGCTGCTGGAGCCCAGGAGGCCATGAGGGAAGGGAGGTGCTTTGATCCAGCCCAGACAAACCAGCTTCTCCTCCAGAACATTCCAAAAACAGGCTTGGTGGGAGAAGCTGAAGTCTGGAGACTCACGGGAAATCTGACTCAAAGCTCTCCAGGGCCTTGCAAAGGGACCCCTCAGGGGAATCAATGTGTGCAATAACAGTGGGCAGGGGAAAAAATGAAAAGGAACAAAGAAAGCAAAAAAAAAAAAAAAAGAATCAATAGAAACTGCCAGCTTGGCTCCCTTGGGGGCCGCTGATTTCCTGGTACTGAAGTAAATCATAATAATCCTTTCTCCTCCTTTCAGTTACCCTGAGTTCAGGACTGACTGACAGCACTGGTCAGTGACTCCTGCTTTGGGGAGCAGCTTTAAACCACGATCCTCCTGCCCAGCCGATGGGGACAGCCCATCCTTCCAGCCTGGCAAGTGCAGAGGTGACCCCTCCTCACCTCCAGTGGGTGGTACCGATTTCTGGTGTGATTTCAGAGCAGCCTTTGGGATGTGGGGTGAGGAGGAATCCATCTCCCAGCTTACAGGCAATGAGCTCTGAAGCACACAAAGGGATTTTAAAATGTGCTGACTGGGAACCCGTGTGAGCTGGGCAGAGTGGGAGTGGGAGATTGTCCAAACCAGCACAGAGTGCAAAAGGGAAGCTGAGGTGAGGGAGACCACGGTGGGACACCCCCTCTGTGACACATCTGATCATGGCTGTGAAACCTCAATAGCTGCAGAACAGCCCTGTTTCCCCCAGTTCCACCTCACCAGACTCTCTAGGGAAGTCCTGCAGCCTTTCCAGGGACTCTGTGAAGCTGGAGCTCTGGATGTGGAAGATGACCAGGGCTCAATTGCAGTAAAGGTATCAAAACCTCCCTTTGGGCATCCCAGTTTTGCCATTGTGGCCTCACCTCCGGGTTTCCCACAGTGGCTCCTCACCCGCCCTGGGATGTGGAAGGTGTGAGCACCACTCCTTTGGCAGCTGGAGACAGGAGCTGCTCTGGAAGCTGTGCTGCAGACTGGGGCTCTGCACTTGGGCCAAAATCGGCTCTTTATCAGCAGGAGAACTGCCCTCCTGTTTTAGTTTAGCAGCTAATTCCTTACAGCTTTTGGAAGAGGAAGAGAAAATATACCGGAGAGCTTAAAAACAAATGATGTAAACTCCGAAGGGAGCGAGGTTGGGACATATGCAATGTATCGCTGAGACAGAGCTGGAAACTTATGCAGAGCCCATAAAGTGCACTTGGAAGGCTGCTCTGCACACAGACAGACTCACCAGCTCCTGTCCAACCAGCTGCAACTCTTTGAGGAAGGGAGAAGCACTACGTGAGAACACTTCTGCTAAACAGGCACAAACCTGCCCCTTCCTCCCCCTCCTCCTCCCAGCCCAAACAGCAACTGTAAATAGATCCATTTTCTCTGCTTCTTCCCGAAAGAGCCAGACAGCCACAATGGCTTAAGTGTGACTCTCAAAATCCAGGCATTTCATAGACACTTGGGAATTGTCTCCGCAGCTCTTTTACAAGTTACAGTCAAGGACACTTAGCAGTGACAGTGTCACCAACCGCCACAGTCTCAGCAAGAATGGCTCCAGCAGCATCTTTGAGCAAATGCTTTACAAAAATGGGTCAGATACAAAACCAGCAAGAGGTGAAGTAACCTTGTCAGCCTTTGAATTTGATTTGAGAAGCTGCCAAAGTGTAAATAGCAACAGTCACTAATGAGGCCCTAATTCTGCCATCACTGAACTCCCAAATTTCCATTAACTAAGACCCAGGCTTTAAGAGGAGGGAGGGGACTGGTTTGTGTGTGTGTGTCTTGGCATGTACAAGATTGAATGTAGTGTCATGAGTGTGAAATACACTCCAAGCAGTGAGAATACTAATGGAAGTTTTATTAGTCCAATTCCCTTTAATAGTTTGTAACAAATTATATTCGTCCTTTTCTATCCTGAGAGAGCCAGACTCTCTCCCTTTGGTTCTACTAGATCTGGTGTGTGTCCAGCACTGAGGGCCATCCACACACTGACACAGGTGCTGGGCTTGCTCTCATTGTTTTGACAGGAGAAAAACAAGGGTTATGCATAGAAATGTTTGTAGTGTCAAGGCCTCAGACTTAATTCTTTGGAGCAGGAAATGTCCTCTGCCTTATTCTTGTACAGGAGCCAGACGTGGTCATCCCACTTGGCAGCTTTTGTCAGCTCCTAATCAGATTAGCACAATGTTTGCTCCCATTCTCCTCAAAAACAAAGGCTGGACAGACATTTTCCCAGTCTGTCATTTTACATGTACCTAAAATATTTACAGAGAAAAAGGCTCCTGCTCCTGACAACAGAGTTAACTCACTGTCAACCAAAACCCCTCCCAACTCCATATTAACAAGTGTGAGAGTATGTCCTGAACTCCAGCCCTGGCCTATGAGTTCAGCCTGACACATCTGTAAATGATCTTCAGCAGTGGGATCAGACCCAAAGGATCACACTTGGAAGGGAGCGGAGCATCCGCAGCCTGCAAACACCGAACCCGAGCCTCTCTCAGGGCATGGAGGCAGCACTGCTCCAGCAGCAGGAAACACGCAAAGGCAGCTTGGAAAGGACCCAGGAAAAACCAACGTTCATTCTGAAGACAGAGTTCCAGATCTGGAACGAGTCAATGCAAAAATATGCCAGGGAAGAGGGAGGTTTCAGGTGCTCCCAGAGGTACCGTGGGCTGGGAACGCAGGCAGTGCCTCCAAAAACAAGGAGCAGCTGAGAACGGCTGTGCAGCCCTTGGTGTCTGAGGTGAGAGCTGGACAGAGCTGCTCTCTCCCAGCCCCAGCTCCATCCACAACTCCTGCACTGCCAGCACCACACTAACACGTGTTGGTCTTTTTGCAGGAAAGGAAGTGGAGGTGAAGAAAAGCACAATTATCATTTGACTCACTCACAACCTGCTGACAGAGCTGCAGAAGGGTGATCACAACACAGAAGGGCCTGAAGGGATTCTATTGGTACAAGAAGGATGCAGTGGGTGAGAGTTTCTGCCCTCAGGCTCAAGGCTCTCCCCAGAACAGGGGCAGGAGCCAAGATCAGCTCTGCAGGGCTCACACAGCTGTGGACGTGAGGGAGAGCTGGGACACATCACCAATTCATTCCCTTTATAGAACTGGCCTGACTACACAGGCTCAAAGCTTCCTCCTCAGGAGGAATGTACACAGAAATGTCACACACCCCATCCACTCCCAAACCCCCCAGGAAGTTTCGGAAGTGCCATAATCCACAAAGAACACAAGGTGAATCTCATCCTGAGAAATCCATCTGCTGCTCCTGGAATAAAAACCCTTTGCTGAAAACCCAGGGCTTACCTGAGGGGACAGGGAGGTTCATAAATAGCTTGAGCTTCTCCCAAAATACATTTGAGGAAAGGCAAAGGATTACCTCAAGGGTCAGGAAAATAGTCATTTTTAAACACTGTAAACATGCAGGGTGGCAAAGCTGCCTGCCCCAGTTGCCCGGGCTCGCTCCTCTCAAGACGTTGCCTTGGCTTCAAAGCTGAAAGTCTTGTCCTGGGAACAGCTCTGTTTTCACACCCCACCATCCTTAGCTGGCAGCTCCATCACAAATCACTGCTGGCTCTGTCCCTCTGGCCATGAAGCTCATTGTCCAGTGATCTGTGCTGGCATAACCTTGGGAAGAGGCAACAGAGAGGCTCTATTAGATAAGCCCACCCTTAATGAGTGCTCCCATTTCTCACAAAGGGATGTGGCCATGCTGGAGCTCTTTGGAAAGACACTTCCCTCAGCGGGCACTGGGTTTGTAATACCCATTGTGTACCCACACTGCTCAGCTTTGAGCATCTCCTGGTATCCCAGTGTTGGGTGTTCCAGGCCACAAACTCCCAGTCCAGGAGGATCACTCCTGTGCTGTGACAAGCAGGCACACACCAGTCTGGAGGTGACAATGGTACAAACCACCATCCCAGGTGTCACACAGGTAAGACCCAGCTGGAAGCAGTCTTCTGATTCCAAGGGCCCTCCCAGTCCCTGCACACCACAGCTCTGGTACTCACCCAAATCCCCAGCTTCCAGCTCCACCTTGAACATCTCACAGTGTCCTCTGCACGTGTCCAGAGGTGCAACAGTCAGGGTGAGTTGCCCACTCCCAACAGCAAACAGGCTGTGCAGGCTGTAGCTCTAGGATGGGAGAAGAGGATTTCAAAAGCCTGGCTAGCTTTCCTTGGCTCTGTCTGCCCAAAGCAGGGACAAGTCACTGCACTGCAGGCAGCTCAGACAGAGCAAACAACACGTTTGCTGCTCCCCCTGTTACCAGCAGATCACAAACTTTAGCTGAGGTCAGCTGCATGCAAGGGTTCTCCTCTCCTTCAAGGCAAGGCAGGGCCTGCACGTCCCCAAAACTCAGGAAAACACAGAGGAGATCAGGCCAGAAGCCCGAAGTGTCTCAGAATGAGTGAGACTCACTGCCAGGAACAGCTCCTAAACAATTCTGCCCAGCTGGGCACAAAAAGACCTCACCCAGCTATAGAGTAAGGCCAGAAACATGAATGGAGCAGGCAAGGGGTGCTGGAACAAGATGATCTTCAAAGTCCCTCTGTTTCTGTGACATCTCCAGCTGCCAAGGGAGATGGCACAGGGCATTTCCTGCCCCAAACCAGACACAACTGCTGGGAGGCACAGCCACCTTGAGAAGCCACTTTACACAGAGATGGACAGAACTGATACAACCCCAAATGCTCCTTTTCAGGACTGTATCAGCTAAAAATACCCTGCAAATCCCACAAAAACTCAGATCTGCTGGGAGACAACTCACAAACAGGAAGAGAATGTCTCTGGAATGAATTTCTCACCTTATTCCCCAAATCTGGATGGTGGATGAGGAAGCAGCTCTCCAGGGACACTGTCTTGGGGAAGGACTGCAACGAGGAAGCAGGGAGAAATTCCTGCAGAATCCGAGATTTATTCACAGACCTGCTCCTGAAACAAACCAGCCCATATTTAGGAATCATCATACAATGATAATGTTTGCATTTAAAAGCTTCTTTCCAGATAAACTTCTTGCCAAACATTCATACTTGACGAACAGCATGACAGAGTAGCCCTAGGAGCCAGGAGCAAAATTCAGCCTCAGCCTCTAAATCTGTGCTCCTTCCCACTTTCCTCTGGGCTCCTGCACCAGGACCATGTAAAGAGGAAAAAAACAGATCCTGATGGATACCTGAACTTCATTTTCCTCTCCTTTTCCTTTAAAATGATTCAAGTCATTGACCAGATCCATTAATTACAAAAGATGCAGAGAGGTGGCATCATACACAACCATAACTGAACCCACATGGTGAGGCAGGGAGGATCCAAGGCTATTCTCTAGATCAGGAAATGTAACTGGAAAAGGCCGGGGGGGGGCTTGTTATTTTTACATCCCTGTCTAGGGGGCTGACATGATTAATTCTTCTGTATCCTGACCATCCCTCTACCAGTGGGACCTTAGAAGTCTCTACCTCTGAGACCTTAGAGAGCTCTCAGTTGTTCACACTTCTTGCTCACACTAAAGGCTTTTGGCAAAGAGCTTTTGGTTAACAGGGACAGGATTAGAGCTGGCCATATTTTCTGCACAAGACCAAACACAACTTGCAGGATTCTTTGACTTTCCATTACTTGTCAGTGTTTGCAGAAGTTATGGCCTCTCATCTCAGTGTCACTGATCAGTGTCAGCACCACTGAGAAGACAGAGGTGATAGAAATATGAACCAGTTGCCTCAGGGGATCAGATCACAACCCAGATCATTTAAAGCCTGAAGAACAGGACCAGGCAGTCCCAGGGACAATTTTATCTTATAATGGGAGCAAGCCCGGAGCCAAGCCACAACTCTCCATTTTTAGTGCTGAAATCTTGTTCTCAGAACAAATCAGTACCAGCAGAAGTGTAACCCACTCCTGTACACCTTCCCTCCAGTTAAACTGCAACTTGCAGGCACTGGTGGCTCACACAGGAATAGCCTGAGCACCCCTGCAGAAAGGATGTGTCCATCCATCCCATGTTTTGTCTGACTCACCAGGGAAAGAAAAATGGGCAGCTCCATAATTCAGCTGAATTTTCTTCTATTATAACCTCTGCCAGTTCTGGATCCTGGGACTGAAAATGCTTCAGTTCTTCATAGGAGAGATGCTGCCCTGTCTTAAAAAACAAGAAACAAAGATAAGGAGCTGTGCCCCCAGAGTTGCTCCCTGCTCCCATTTCCCTCCCACTAAAAAACATCCAAGAGCAACAGCCACGTGCATTGCTAAGTGTCCAAATACAATGATCATTAGTCAGAGAAACAATGCAGGGAGCTCTCTCCTCCCACATTTTTACACTGGGGTGAAATGTCTTCTTAGACACATGCTCTGAACGAGCAGTTTGAGTTCACGGGTGAAAATACTGGGCAGGGGTTTTGGGCTCGTGCTGTTCAAGAGTTTGGACTCATCACCCAACCTCACAAATCCCTGCATTACCTTGATTAGAAAAGGCTGATGCCTCTGGAGCTTTTCTGATAGCTCTGTCAAGTCTGTCACTATGTGAAGGCTTTTCACAGCAGAACAGACTGTGCAGTTTGCAGGAAGTGCAGAAGTGTTCTGTCTGCAACCTGCTGCCCACCAGTCCTGGCATTCTGGGGAAGAAACAAGGGAAACCTTGTTTAGTAAGATCAAAAATGGAATGGAAAGGAGAAAAATTCAATGATAAACTCATTATCTCTAACATGAAACACTGAGATTTCTTATAGTTTCTGATAGCTGTAACTCAAAAAGAAGCAGCTTCACCAGGCAGGTGAAGGGAATGTTTCCAGCACATTTTGAAGATACAGCTAAGGGTTGTGAGCAATGGGAGAGCTTGTGGAAATTCCACTTCTCTGTACATGAGGCACACAGAACCTTCCATGAGCAACAGAAGGATGGCAACCATCATATGTAGTGTAATTAAACTGAAACAAGTCCATAAACAAAAGAGTAACCCAAAGTGTTATCCAGGAGATAACACAAAAAAGATCCAGGTTGGAAAGAGTAACTCCCACATGGTTAGCACTGGTGTCATGAACCCTGCTAGGACATACCTGAAATCATCACCCTCCCCTTTACCACTGTGCTAATTTAGAAATATTTTGTCCCAGGCAATGATTGCCCAGTCCCTGATGTGCAGAAGATGCCAGGGAAATGTCAGATTTCACCAAGACATGCTGCTGCTGTTTTCATTTATCCCATGCATTGACTTAAAGATGAAATGAGGAGAAAAGTCCCAGCACGAGCAACCCCTGGACCACAGCCACATTCATTTTAAATTCCAAAAATTGTTGTTACACCACAATCAGCTGAATCAGGCCTACAATGAACACTGCATATGTTTACATCTTCAAAAATCCAATCTTTACATGAAAACACAACTTGATGCCTATATCTGGCTTCCCTCCTCCAACTTTACAGCTCTCCCCAAAGAACAAAGAAACATTAAGACAAGGGACTTGTTGCAGCAGGGTGTGATTAGGACAATGCTGAACACCCCATGCATTTCTATGCTAAAGGATGTGCAGAGCAAACACCACGCTGAAAGGATGTAGCTCCAATTCACAGCATCACAGAACCACACAAAGATCAAATTCCAACTCCTGGCCCTGCACAGAGACATCCCAAACTCCCACCCTGTGCCTGAGAGCAGTGTCCAAACTCTCCTGGTGCTCTGGCAGCCTCGGGGCTGTTTCCATTCCCTGGGGAGCCTGGGCAGTGCCCAGCACCCTCTGGGGGAAGAACCTTCCCTGATATCCAGTCTAAACACCCCCAACACAAATTTTATATTGGGAGATACAGCAGCAGGTTGTGAGAAATGAGAGAGCTTAATGGAAATTCCACTTCAAATACAGATTTTATAGCAGTGACAGCTCTGGTTCTGCAGCCTTAATCCAACGGGAGAGGCTTAACTTGGGCAGTGGCAGCAAACCCATCCCATCCTGATCTGCCAGGGTGGGTCAGGAAAAACCCAGGGTCAGGAAAAGCCTGGGACACATCTCACGTGAAATATTCAGGGATGTGTCCTCACCAACAGGCCCACCCTGCCAGCACATGTCAAAACAGCTCCAAAGCCTACTGGACATTGCTGCAAGCAAACTCAGGAAACAGGGGGAAGGGCAAAGGGAGAAAGAAGGGTGAAATCTAGCTGAAAAATCAAGCTGGGAAACAAGGATGCACAGCAGCTTTTTTTGGGGAAAAAAGACCACACACAACCTGCCTGTCACTGCCACTGCCATTTCCAGCCACGCTCACACTCCTGCACAGGGCTAAGAAGGGATGAACAGCACTTCTCAGGACAGCTCTTGTTTTATTTTCCCCTCTGACATCTGCAACAGGCCACGAGGAATGTTACAGAGGATTTACGTTCATTGGGACATAACCACAAGGAGCAGACTGGGATTCATTTTGTTTCTTTCTTGTTGAATATTTCCAACTCCCAAATGCTGCATTTCCCACCCTACTGCTGGGAAATGGACTGAAAGGGATCAGGATGTAATTCCTAGTCTTTCTGGAAGACACATCTACATTGCTTTCAGGGAAAGGGGAAAAAAGGCAAAACAAAGTGTAAAATCCTTCTTGCAAGCAGAAGTCCTACTCCCATGAGAAACTGCTCCGATGTACTTTCCCTCCCTGCTCACAAGAGAAAAAAGAAAATCTTTGTTCCACTGCCTGTAGAAAGCTTCAGTTTTATAACAACAAAAAAACTCAACTCACAAAAAACAGCTGGTCAGTGACAGGAAACAAAAGGCTGAAAGATCTCACCAGAGAAAGGGCAGTCGCTGTGAAGAGAACAAGAAAACATCTCTACAGTCTGTCATCAGACGGGGCGTAGCAAGACTGTAATTTCTCTCTGGGCAAAACTCAGAAACCTCATCCCTAAGCATTAAGCACAGTTGTCCCCAAATTTTCCCTCTGGGCTCAGGGCAGTACCCCATGGAACAGGATGCTAATCAGCTTGACAGTACAGAGCTTGATTCCTCTTTTGAGCCAGGCTGGGATATTTGCATTCTCAATTGCTCAATTCAGGAGGTGATTTCTTTTCCCCATGAATAACCAGAGCAGAGCACTGGTTGAGACGCATTTCAAATGCTGCAAGTGGGGTTGTGGGATTTTTTTTTTTTTCCCCCTAGTAATTAATCTTTTAGATTTATTGTGGAGGGTGTTAGTCTGTGCACCAGCATGTGTGTGACTGGCATGACAAGTACGGGCAGCGCCTGCCCTTCCCAGGGAGGGCGGGAGGAGAGATGGTGCACAGAGGAGTCAGCTGCCACTGGGGACCAGGGCAGGATTTTACCCAGGATGCTGATTTTTCTCTCCTTACCCTCCCTGCATTCCTTTTACATTATCACCCTGCCTGCCCAGACACCCTGGGGATTGTTCCGGTGGAAGTCGAGCGCGCTGTCTGTGCACACACACGGCTGCTCGGGGATGCAAATGGGAGATGCTCTTTTCATCCCAGCACAACCCTCACACCACGGTCCCATCCACTCGCTGGTGCTGGGCGTGGGCAATTGTCCCTGTGGAGCTGGAGTGCAGGAGAGCAGCTGCAGCAGTGACACATCCAACTATTACACGACAGAAGTGTGGCCAACTTCTCTCTGCTTTCTCACCCCTGTTTGAGGGGCAGCCTTCAGTTTGTTCAACAGAACTTCAGTTCCCCATCGGCCATAACCTCCTAATATTTCCTTTTATGTGTTATTATTTCTTCAAAACAAGAGCTGCCTTCTCCCCCGTGTCAGGAGAGCTCCTAGCAGAGCCAGGGCTGGCACTTTCAGCTGCTAACACAGCACAGACCGAGATAACAATCTTCATTTAAAACACATCTATGATTAATGCTACAAGGAGTTTATGACTCTACTTTCCACTATGCAGAAAAATAATTTTTAAGTCACCACCAATTAAAAATGAGTACCCCGCCCTTCTTGGCTGTTTTCACAGAGGATCTCCCAAATTTTTGGCTGCCCCCAGCACTAGAGAGGGGTGTGTGTGCACAGCCCCAGAGATGCTGGGTGTGGATGATCAGACTGTAAGCTCAAGGATCCTGAGAAGACCTGGCCCTGCTTCTGCCCATTGCAGCAAAGCAAATTAACTTATGGAAACTTGCCCACATGGATCTGAGAGCAGGATCTCAGCAAGCCCTATTTTCTTTAGGGACCATATGGAGGGTGCAGGATCAATCTGCCAGTGCAGCAGGTTCAAAGGGAAGCCTCTAGCAGGGGGAACTTTTGTTCCTGCAGGACACAGAGCCAAGGGCTGCTCCTGACCCTAACAAAGTGTTCAAAACACAAAACCTCCTTCTTGTTGCACTGCAGGTGCTGAGGCAGTTTGCTGGCTCCTCACCAAGCTGGTTTGGTCCCTAGCACTCAGGCTGCAAGGCTGAAGCAATCTCCACCAGGCAAGTGCCACCAGGTCTGCACAGGGAAGTCTGGTCCCAGGGAAGACCCCCCAGGACTCCACAGTCCCCACAGATGTTGTGTCCGTAGGGACTATGGCTGCCACCACCCACAGTAACTGAAAAGAAACTCCCCAGAGGACTGGCTCATGTACTGAGCGGCTCCACAACCTGCAAAGGCTGCTTCCAAATCCCAGATTTCTCTTTCTGAGGATGGGACGACTCCCCAGACCCACCAAATACTTCACCGGGGCCAATCCTAGGAATATTCAAGCAACTTCAGCAAGCATTGGATGAACTCAGGGCTCCCAAGAGAGGCTGTGCACTGAATATTCCCCCAAAATTCCTCTGTCCTTTCTTGTAGGTCCATTGTACAAACCTGGGTGTTTCATTAAAAGGGGATTCTGCCCCTCTGCCCTGGTCAAGTGAGACCTCACCTGCAGAGCTGCCTCCACTCAGGGACCACAACACAAGAAGGATGTGGAGCTGTTGGAGTGAGTCCTAAGGAAGCCACAGAAACGCTCCAAAAGCTGGAGCCCCTCTGCTCTGGAACCAAGCTGGGAGAGCTGGGAGTGTTCATCTGGAGAGCAAAAGGCTCTGGGGAGACCTCAAAACCCCTTCCAGTGCATGAAGATCCCAGAGAGCTGGAGAGGGATTTGGGACAAGGCCTGGAGTGTCAGGAATGGAGGGGGAATGGCTTCCACTGCCAGAGGGCAGGGTTAGATGGGATATTGGAAAGAAATTCTTCCCAGTGAGGGTAGGGAGGCTCTGGCACAGGGTGCCCAGAGAAGCTCTGGCTGTTCTGTCTCTGGAAGCATTCAAGGCCAGGACTGACAGGGCTTGGAGCAACCTGGGACAGTGGAACAATTTAGACATCAATTCATGATCACAATCTACAACACAGGGAAATCCCATCATTCCAACTTTACAGATGTAGAATTCCAAGCCCTGGTAGTTACCAGGTGGCACAGTTTGCAAGAGGCATTGGTAGCACTTTGCTGCACAAGCAATGTTTCCTAAACTCTATCTTGCTGAAATTCTTCACTAGGCTAAAAATTAATTTGATCATTTATAATGTCATGTCAAAGTCAGGCTAAACTGATGGGTTCTTAAGTAAGTCAGGCAGGAAACATAAGGATTATTAATTACAGCCTGCAAGTTCTGATTAAGAACTGCATCACAGTGAGGTTTTAAATATATACTACAAAGACTGTCCCT